GGAGTATTTTCTCACATAGATATAAATTGACTACTATTTGTGTTCAGTTTGAGTGAGGAATTTTTAGGTTTGATTTAAATTTGATTTAATTATTTGAATTAGATTTGATTAAGATTTTCTTGTTTTCGGTGTATCATGTAACACTATATAATATCCAATTTTATTGTTCAACACAATGTGAGATTTCTCATAATTCTTATCTTTACAGTTTTCTACGTGTTCTTAACCGACTAAAATAAAATAAGAATATTTTTTTAAAAAAAATTATATAAAAAAATTAAATACAAATTATTTATTAGAATGGAAAGTTATATTTATTTCTTGACACTTTTTTGAGTTAGACAAATAAAAATTAAAACAAACTAAAGGAATAATGTATATATTTTTTTCGATAATTAGCTTTGAAAAATATAAACAAAAACAAATTGTAGGAAAAAAAAAAATTGTCCCATTTTTTTCTAAATTGTTTTAAATACTCTGTTTTCCCCATTTTGTTTAGAAAGTGCAAAATTGATAAGAATGATACTTTGATACCATGTTAATAATGAGAAGTTCTGATTCCATGTCAAGAATGATGTTCTGATCATATTAAGAATGTTATAAGTCCCAATGGGATCTCAATTTTCATCGATATTCACAATGTCTCAAATTGATCTAAAAATGTTAAGAATGATACTTTGATACCATGTTAACAATGAAAAGCTTTGATACCATGTTAAGAATGAGAAATATAAGTGGGATTGAATGTCCGAGAAACGTAGGTGGGATCAAAAGTCTTAGTGGGATCTAAAGTCAAATTTTCATTAATGTTCACAATGTCTCAAATTGATCTAAAAATATTAAGAATGATACTTTGATACCATGTTAATAATGAGAAGCTCCGGTACCATGTTAAGAATGAGAAACATAAGTGAGATCAAAGTATGAGAAACATAGGTGGAATAAAAAATACCAGTGGGATCTAAAGTCAAATTTTCATTAATGTTCTCAAATTGATCTAACAATGTAAAAAATGATACTTTGATACCATGTTAATGATGGGAAGCTCTGATACGATGTTAAGAATGATACTCTGATACCATGTTAAGAATGAGAAATGTAAATGGGATCGAACGTCCTAGAAACATAGGTAGGATCAAAAGTTCCAATGAGATCTAAAATCCAATTTTCATTAATGTTTACAAGTGTCAATAGAATACAAACTACAAACAAAATCGGGAATATAAGATAAAATATATCCAATATAAAATCTTTGAATGGTCCTACTCTGTTGAAATATCATCACTAGCCCAATAGAGTCAAGCCTAATTATTGTACGAGCCCAATATATTTATTTTAGTAGAGATTTTAGGAGAAAGAGATCTAGATATTTTAGGAGAAAGATTCAAATTTGTTAGGTCTAGATTCAAATCGGTTAGGTCTAGATTTAGATTGGTTAAATGTAGATTCTTTACTCTTAGTATAAATACCCGTCCACCCTACCTAGGTTAATCATCCAAGAAATCCAAAAACAATAAAAAGCAGAAGTATTCTACAGAGTGTCTTGTATTCTCTTCTCGATTGGTCTTAATAAATAGTGCGAGTGTTTCAGTTGTGTTCAACATTTGGTATCAGAGCCATGCCCTAAACTTAGTCGTGCCAATAGATTGGTAAATCCTCAAATCCTCGAATATCGAACAAAGAACTCTTAAAGAAAAGGAGCTAAGCCCCTCCTCGAAGGCAGTAAAAAATGACTAAGACTCCAAAGGAGTCGAGCCTCGATTAAGGGGAGGTGCACTTTGTTCGAGGGGAGGTGTTGGATGATGGAAGTCCCACATCGACTAATTTAGGGTGTGATCATGGGTTTATAAGTGAGGAATACTAACTCCATTTGTATGAGGCCTTTTGGGGAAGCCCAAAGCAAAGCCATGAGAGCTTATGCTCAAAGTGGACAATATCATACCATTGTGGAGAGTCGTGTTCGTCTAACATGGTATCAGTCTGTGGTTGCAGCTCTGCCTGATCTTCCACATCAGAAACGATTTCTTGAGATTAGTGGTGAGTGAGTTTCTTTTGTGTCGTGAGAAGTCTGTGACTCTGCAAGTCTTGTGTCAAAAGAACTTGTTTGGTATTACTGAGGTATGGCCAACACGATGAGTGATTTCCAAATCGTTGGAGGAATTAAGAAACTCAACAACAACAACTACAACACGTGGGCAACATGTATGATGACCTATTTACAAGGACAGGATCTTTGGGAGATCGTTGGCGGGTGCGAAACTACGCCGCCAGAGGATGATTCCAACGACGCCTTGCGCAAATGGAGAATCAAAGCAGGCAAAGCAATGTTTGCGTTGAAGATCACAATCGGAGAAGAGATGTTAGAACATATTTGGGATGACAAGACACCGAAAAAAGCATGGGACACGTTCGTGATGTTGTTCTCAAAGAAGAACGATACGAGGCTACAACTTCTAGAGAATGAGTTGTTGTCAATTACACAACGTGATATGACAATTGCTCAGTACTTCCACAAGGTCAAATCAATCTGTCGATAGATTACTGAACTAGACCCAAAGTCCGCCATTGTAGAATCTCGAATGAAGAGGATTATAATCCACGGATTACGACCGGAGAATATCGAAGCTTCATTACTGCTGGCCCACTCAACCAACACTTGTAGAGTTCGAAAATTTGTTAGCCAGCCAAGAAGCCATGGCTAAACAAATGGGAGGCTTCACATTGAAGGGTGAAGAAGAAGCACTCTACACGAGTGAAAGTCGGAGCAATAATAGGCCGTCTACCAAACGTGGATACAATGGTGACAAAAGAAGAAGCCACCAACCTGAGAGAGCTCAGAAGAACGACAACAAGAGTTTCCAAAGAACGAGATTTGGTGGTATTTGCTATAATTGCGGGAAAAAGGGCCACATGTCTAGAGATGCAGAGGTACTATGTCCCATAGAAGAAGACGAGTTAGCACTCATGGCGACAATGGAAGAGCATATCGATTATGAGGATGAATGGATCATTGATTCAGGATGCTTAAACCACATGATTGACGATCAAAGCGGTGCAATGGAAGAGGGGTGGCCCTTAGAGAAGGAAGTATTACCACGCCTTGAGAAAACTGAAGAAATTCTTCTCCAGGACATGGGAGAGCAAACTGAAGAAATTCTTCTCCAGGACATGGGGGAGCAAATTGAAGAGATTCTTCTCCAGAACATAGGGGAGCAAACTGAAGAGATTCTTCCACAAAAGACGGGGGAGCAAATTGTACACATTTGCTCAAGTGCTGATATGCCTGAAGATTCAAGTGACACTAGTGTTGGCGAGCAAGAAGTGACTCAACCAAGCGAGCCTAGTGAAAATGAAATGACACCTCAACAACTCAGACATTCAGAAATAATCCTAAAGGAAAATCTAGAGTATGCCAACGCAGTAGAAGACGAAGTTAATGAGCCAGAGACATATGAAGAAGCATCACAAAACTCAGCTTGGCAGAAAGCAATGGAGGAAGAAACTATAGCCCTAGAACAAAATCAGACTTGGGAATTAGTGTCAAGACCAAGAGATACCAAACTCATCTCTTGCAAGTGGGCTTACGAAATAATGTGTACCCCGGATGGATCAATCGTGAGATACAAAGCTCAGACTATAGATTCAGGGTTCTCTCAAGAATATGGACTAGATTATGATGAAACGATTAGTCTAGTGGCAAAGATCATTATCGTACAAGTTCCTCCAGTACTTACGGTAAATAAAGATTGGAAATTATGGCAGATGGATATGAATAATGCTTTCTTGCAGGGAGAGTTAAACAAAGAGTTCTACATGGACCAACCGAAAAAATTTGAAAATGAAGTTGGAGTCATTGATCAATATATGCAAAATCTGAAGAAGCCTTATTTGGATACAGCTCGACCGACCTTAAGATATGTCAAAGGAGACCACGATACCCGAAGATCAATCACTGGGTATGTGTTCAAGCTCGGTTCAAGAACAATTTTTTGGTGTAACAAAAGACAACCAACAATATCATTGTCAACTAAAGAAGCAGAGTACAGAGCAGTAGCTGGAGCAACTCAGGAAAATACATGCTTAAAACTTTTGATGGAAGATTGGCACCAGAAAATTGAGTATCCAATACCACTTTATTGCAACAATCAATCTGTGATTCGCCTTGCAGAAAATCCGGTGTTTCATGCTAGAACAAAGCATGTGGAGGTGCACTACCATTTCATAAGAGAGAAGGTCCTAAAGGAAGAAATCGAGATGCAGCAGATCAAGACAGATGACCAAGTGGCAGACTTGTTTACAAAAGGGCTGAATACTGGCAAACATGAGAGTTTTCGCTGTCAGCTCAACATGGTGCAGCGAATGAGGACTAGTGCTGAGGGGGAGTGTTGAAATATCATCACTAGCCCAATAGAGTCAAGCCCAATTATTGTACGAGCCCAATATATTTATTTTAGTAGAGATTTTAGGAGAAAGAGATCTAGATATTTTAGGAGAAAGATTCAAATTTGTTAGGTCTAGATTCAAATCGGTTAGGTCTAGATTTAGATTGGTTAAATATAGATTCTTTACTCTTAGTATAAATACCCGTCCACCCTACCTAGGTTAATCATCCAAGAAATCCAAAAACAATAAAAAGCAGAAGTATTCTACAGAGTGTCTTGTATTCTCTTCTCGATTGGTCTTAATAAATAGTGCGAGTGTTTCCCATAGTGAGTTGTGTTCAACATACTCCATCACAAAATAACAAAAATTATGGTTTCATACTTTTCAAATTATTGTCCTTAATGTTTCTTTGGAGCCCACCTTGTTAGATAAGGTTTCTATATGTTTTATTTTGGTGCACACAAATTCTCTCGAATTGCAAACTCTGGGAATCCAAGAAGAAAAGCATGGTGGAATTCCCGTGGACCTTTGCTGTACATGAAGTGTTGAGGAACACGGTGAAGCTGGCTGCTGAGCAGGTCGACCTGGCATGAGGATTCAAGGACGAACTCTCGAAAATGAAGGACTCTTTACTCATGGCACAAGCCATCCCAAGGGATGTTGAAAAAATGAAGGTAGACCTTGACTCCTTAAAGCTATGGGTGAAGAAGCTTGAAGATATCGTCTTCCAAGCTGATATTTTACTCAATGAGCTTGCTTATGAAGACGTTCGACTCAAAGTGGAAATCGGGAAAGATCTGTTGGTACGTAATATCTTTTCATTCTCCAAAAATTTCTTTGCTTTTCAACTCAAAATGGAAAATGAAATCAAAATCGTTACTAAAAAGTTTGATGAGTTAGTTTGTACAAAAAAATTCCTCCGAGATGTGTTGCTACAACATTTAGAATTGGAGTTATTGGGAGGGACACTGAAGTATCAAATATAGTGGATAAACTACTTGCTCTTAAGAATCAAGAAACTCATGTTGTTTTACCCATTGTTGGTACGGGTGGATTAGGAAAAACAATTCTGGTGAAGGAGGTTTTCCATCATGATATGATAAAGGAAGAATTTCGATACAACTATATGGGTATGTGTGTATGATCCTTTTAAAATCAACAAAATTTTACGAGCAATTGTGGGATCCTTGAATCCTACCTTTGGTGGCTCACATGAAAGGGAAGCCATACTTCAAAAGCTTAAAAATCTGTTGAGTGTCAAAAAGTATTTTCTTGTGCTCGATGATGTTTGGAATGAGGAACCCATTTTATGGAATGAGTTGAGGGATTGTTTGATAAAGATGAGTCAAAATGTTATTAGTGTTATAGTTGTGACTACTAGGAGAGATAAAGTTGCAGAAACTATGGAGACAAATTAGAGATATCATTTGAGGCAGTTATCATCATTGTTGGTCTTTATTTGAAAAATGTTCATTTGGAAGTGATTTACTAATACTTCCTGTTGTGATTTGAGAACAACTTGTTAAAAAATTTGGTGGTATACCATTGGTTGTGAAAGTGTTAGGAGGAATGGTGAAATCATGCAAGAATGACGATGAATTGCAATCAACTTTGGAAAATCTAGTGAGAATTGAATTACCAAAGAAATATCTTATTTTATCCACGATCAAATTAAGCGTTGACCGTCTACCACCTTTCTCATTGGAACAATGTTTTGTCTACTGTTCAAATTTTCCACCGGACTTTTGTTCAAATGTTCCAAACTCGAGGTTCTTAAAATTAATGATCTAAGTGCTGTAAAAAGCATTCGAAGCCAGTTTTACGGGAACTATTGCGATTGCAGAACTTTATTCCCGAAATTGAAAAAAACTTGATATTTTGCAAATGGACAATTTAAAGCAATGGGAAGAAGTTTCTACTACCAAAAACTCTACCACTTTTCCTCATCTCGAAAGCTTAACTATTTGTTCTTGTCTTAAACTAACGAATATTCCAAACATTTTTACAACTCATGGTCAAAGGTTGGAAGCTGACACGGTTAATGAAAGATTGTTTTCAAGCGTTCAAAGTCCTCCAAAGCTTCAATCTCTATGCATTTATAATTGTACAAGTTTGATAAAGTTACCAAACTGGTTCGAATTCTGTAGCTCACTCGTCGAGTTGTGAATAGACCACTTTCACGATGATATTTCCCCTTCAAATTTGCACCCTCCAAATTTGAAAAATATGCCAAACTTGTCTTCATTAAGACTCGAAAACTTTCCTAATTTGCCGGAAGGACTTGGTGGTATTCATAATTTGAAAATATTGGTAGTTGAAGGGCCAATGCAGGATTATGATTGGAGTCGATTCATACCCTTCAATTCACTTGAAGTTCTTGAGTTGCATGAAATAAGAACGATTAATTTAACACAGCTTCCTCGACAACATAGGTTCCTTATTGCTTTGAAATCGTTGTATATTAACAATTTTAATGGCCTTGAATCTCTGCTAGAATGGTTGGAAAACGTTACATCTTTGGAGACATTAGAGTTATGTTTGTGCAAAAATTTGAAAAATTTGCCCTCGAAAGAGACCATGTCAAATCTAACTAAATTGAATCATTTGAGAGTGCCGGGATGTTCTCAACTTAAAGTTGGTGAAGGTGGTGTTGAACGGGAAAAAGTTTCTCATGTACCCAATGTCTTTGTATTCTAACACAACTACTGTATGATGGTTTCTTCTCTTCGTACTTTCTTTTTTTTAATGTTTTTATTAGCGTATACTATATTAATTACTACTCCTTTATTAAGTCCATTATATTTGCGCTTCCCATCTTCCTTCTACTCTTATCTTAGCCCTATTCTGACACGCGTGTTGGGCTTATATGTTAGCATAGAGGAGAAGAAAATCAAAGGTTTTAGCCTTGTGAATATTGTACCTCATATCTCCTCGTGTTTGGAACTTCATGAAACCAATTCCTAAAGCTTCTATCAAAGATTACTTATTTGTTTAGATTGCTTTCAGGTGGTATTTGATTAAATCTCCTTAGAATTTGATTTAGTTTTGATTTGCACTGGTTTCTTACCTACGATAGATTTTTAGTTAGATTTTCTAAATATCTTTTTATATTCTCTATATATATATATATACAAAGCCTTCTTGCTCTTTATAATATATCTTCTCATCAACCATTCAATCATTCTTTCACTAACAAATTGGTATCAGAGCCTTCTTCTTAAGGGATATGTGAGATCAAAATGGAAGGAGAATCTAGTTCTTCAGCTGTTGCACTGGAGACAATTATCACATGTGGGCAGTTCGTATGGAGACTTATTTGGAGGCTTTGGATCTTTGGGAAGCAATAGAAGAGGATTACGAGGTCCCTCCACTTCCAGCAAATCCTACCGTAGCACAAATCAAAGCACATAAGGAAAAAAAAAAACAAGAAAATCAAAGGCAAAAGCTTGCCTATTTGCAGCTGTATCTCAAATGATCTTCATGAAAATAATGTCCCTCAAAACAGCAAAGGAAATCTGGGATTACCTCAAGGCTGAATATGAAGGAGATGAGAGGATTTGTGGAATGAAAGTTCTGAATTTAATTAGGGATTTCAAGTTGCAGAAGATGAAGGAGTCTGAGTTGGTGAAAGAGTACTTTGATAGACTTCTCAGCGTTGCCAACAAGGTGAGATTGCTTGGTTATGTGTTAGGTGATTCCAAGATCGTTGAAAAGTTGCTGGTCACTGTTCTAGAGAAGTTTAAAGCCATCATTACTACTCTAGAGAACACCAAAGACCTGTCAAATATTTCTCTTACAGAACTCTTGAATGCTTTACAAGCACAAGAACAAATGAGGTCTATGAGGCAAGAAGGGGTGATTGAAGGTGTCTTACCTGTTAAGCATCAAGACAACAGCAGATATAAAAACAAGAAATTTTTCAAAAACCAATCGACGAAAGGTCATCCACCATGCAAATGTTGGAGAGGACCTGACGCCAAATGCTCCAAATGTAAATCAACTTGGACGTGAAGCTGTGATCTACAAAGTCAAAGGTCAGGTGAAAGAAGTAGATGCACAGGTAGCTGATTAAGAATAAGAAGATTAATTGTTTGTGTTCACTTGTTTCTCAGGGCAAAGAATCAAGCGGGAGTTGATTGATTGAGAGTAGGTGCACAAATCATATGACATATGACAAGGAGCTTTTTTGAGGAATTAAGAGACACTGAAAACAAGAGAGTAAGGATTGGCAATGGTGAACACTTGGAAGTCAAGGGAAAAGGCAATAAGTGATCTATTAAGTGTTGGTCAGTTACTTGATAAAGGCTATAAAGTGTTGTTTGAGAATAAACAGTGCTTGATCAGAGATGCTAGTGGCAAAGACTTGTTTAATGTCAAAATGAAAGGAAAAAGCTTTGCTCTAAATCCGATGGAGAAAGAGTAGATGGCCTTTACATCCAGAGCTAGTGCCACTGAGATTTGGCACAAAAGACTTGGGCACTTTCATCATCATGGTTTACTTCAGATGCAGTCAAGGAAGCTAATAGAAGGACTCGTTGACATTGATAATGACATGCCTCTTTGCCGTGTTTGTAATTTTGGGAAGCAACATAGCCAACCCTTTCCTAACAGACATGGAGAGCCTAAAAAAAGCTGCAGCTAGTTCAGACTGATCTTTGTGGTGTTCAGAGAACACCATCATTAAATGGCAATCTTTATTACATTGTTTTTATTGATGATCTAACAAGAATGTATTGGATCTTCTTACTGAAGCAAAAGTCAGAAGTTGTGAGTGTATTTTAGAAATTCAAAGCTAGAGTTGAGAATGAAAGTGCATGCTTGATTCAGACTATAAGATCAGGTAATGGCAAGGAGTACACTTCATAAACTTTTAACAGGTTTTGTGAAGTGTATAAAATTGTACATCAATTGACACCACCATACACTCCTCAACAGAATGGTGTTAGTCAAAGGAGGAATAGATTCATAATGTAGATGACCGGATGCATGCTTCATGAGAATAATCTTCCAGAACGTTTTTGGGGAGAAGTAGCAAACACTGCTGTGTACTTGCAAAATCGAATTTTAACAAAAAGTTCTGAAGGACCTGACACCATTTGAAGCTTGGTATAGTTACAAACCTCTTTAAAGTTCCGCTTCATAATTCATGTTGATTCCAATGAATCTAAAATGAAACAATCAAAAGGCTATTAATCCTTTTTTTAGCATTCAAAAGAAGTAATTGATTGAGCAATTGACAGATGATCCAGGGGTTCGGTTCCGTAGGAACTTTTTATCTTCGGATTTCGAAAAGAATTAGTAAACCCCATCTTTAACGTTTGAACCATGATATGAAATGAGTTCGATAAAACAAGCAGAAATCCTATTTTGAAAATAACTAAAATACTAAGAATAATAAATAAAACAAGTGGTAAGCATGTAATATGTGGGTGGCTACCCCGAGGTACTATCTTATTATGAAGTAGTAGATTATTATGTGGAGTATCTCATTGGACAACTACTATGTCTATGTTCTTTCGTGTCAAAAGTATGGCAAAATTGAATTTTAACAAAAGCTGTGAAGGACCTGACACCATTTAGAAGCTTCATATAGTTACAAATCTCTTTAAAGTTCTTTAGAGTATTTTGGTGTCTTTGCTTCACTTACATTCCACAGGTCAAGCGTGATAAGCTTAACAAAAAGACAGAAGCTGGCATTTTTGTTGAGTATAGCACTATATCCAAAGCTTACAAAGTTTTCAAGCACACACTAGCCGTGTTATTGTGAGCCGAGATGTTCATTTTGCTGAAAATGAGCAATGAAATTGGGAAGAACTGACGAACGTGAATCAGATTTCTAATGCACCAAACAATTTAACCTTTGGTAGCATGTTAGAAGAGTCTGAAGTTGAACGACAAAAAGAGTTTGAAGATGTGCTTTGGTTGATGATGCACCTGTACAAGGTTGTGATATTTATCAAAGGTGTAATGTAGCTGTTTTTGAGCCTGCGGGTTCCATGGTGCAAAAAAACAGTCAACTTTGAATGGTTGTAATGCATGAGCTTTCGATGATCGAGAAAAATAAAACAAAGACAAGGAGGAGTATGATGGGTGTGGAGTAAGATGCGAAACAAAACCTGGGAGAAGATGGTCGACCTCGCAACACAAAGCCAAGGAGTAAGATGGGTGTTCCAAGAAAAAGCTGGAGTTTGCAACATCTAAACAAGGAGGAGTGTTAAAAGATCTGATCATTGTTACCAGATTTTCTACAAATTTTAGGTTGATTTTCTTTTTCTAAATATCTTTTTATATTCTTTCTATATATAGAGTTTTAGTATAGTAAAGGTTGCACATGTCTTGTCGGGTCCAGATATTCATGTGGTCGATTCTTATGAATCAGCTACTCCTTTAGTTTTCTTGAAACACCTTTCATTTTTACTCAAATGGAGCATCTTTTTTATAATCTCTTATATATTTATTGATGGTTTTGAACCTTAGAACGACTATTTGATTCTACCAAAAAAAAAAAAAAAAAATTAAAGTCAGTACTATATTAAACAACTTTTTGATATAATCAAATGGGCTATCGTTCCGCCACGAATCCAATAATGATACAAATCTTTTAATATTATATTCTTTTCAATGTACTAATCAATACCTTTGGTCCTAGAAAGTATTGTCATTCATGCAACAACTCAAAACATGGACATGCTCATAATTGCTCATTCTAAATATTGAGGTTTTCCTCAAATGTCGTTTTTCCTCTTCCCATTAGAATTGATATTTTAGTGGTTAATTTTTTAGACTATAGTACTACCAATATTTATGGTTGACTTCCATCCCTGAATAATCTACATGATTTATGTTTTTATTGTAATAAGTAACATGTATATAATTTTTAATAATAGAATAGAGTCCATAAATTAAAATAGAAAATTAAATATGAGAAAAAAATGTAGGAAAACCATTCCATTTATGAAAAAATATATAGAAATAGTGAATTTGTCTACAAAATAATGATTCAATTTGGCTTGGTTTTACTTTGNAAAAAAAAAAAAAAAAAAAAAAAAAAAAATTGATGCCCAGCAATGCTACTCTCACGCTTGTGTGCTACTTCCAATTGGTGTAATGGTTGGGGTTTGAGCAATGCTTCCAACCGATACACCCTCCGGGGTTAGAGAAATGCTCCCAACCGATGCACCCTTCGAGGTTAGAGCAGTGCTTCCAAATGGTGCATCCACTAGACTACTTCCAATTGGAGCAACTGTTGGGATTTGAGTTTCATGTGATCCAAGAGCACGAAATGAAAATTGATGATCGAGATTCACAACACCGGTGACATCAGGTGGTCAACATTGCCAAACAATCACTAATAAAGAGTGTGAAAGAGCTTGAAACCTTTATCCATGGCCATTGTGGAGCATCATCAAGTTGTAAGGTTACAATCTCGTTTCACAACTGATGAAGAGTAGCAATGGCGAAGGTGTGGGTGTTTGAATTTTTCTATAAATGTAAAGTCCTACATATAATTTTATAGGAAAATTATAATGAGAAAAGACCACCAAATTTAGAGAGGCTCTTATATTTTGTGGGTTCATAAGTATTCTAAGTATAGAATGTAGTTGAATTAATGTACGTTAATGTTATTCATTTTCAAGTTGAATAAATTACTCTTTAGATTTACATTTGTTTCTTGTGGTGCTTTCTGTTTCATCTGTCTTGTCTACTTCGAAACTGCAAGCTCTTCTCAGGTGAGCTTGGTTTTTGCTTGACGGGTAGATCTTCCCATTATTGAGGTGTCGACACACGACACTAATGAATTTCGGGTAGTCTTGGCTTCAACTCCCAACTGATTATAATTCTGACCGGCAACTGTCCTGCCCACTTCGGCACTCTTGACACACTTGCAAGGTCTTCGATCAACTCTTGGGTTCATTTCTCTTGACTGTCTTGCCCGACTAGACACACAAAGTGTGGCTCTGATACCAATTGTCACGGTCCTATATCTTTGACCGTGCGGCGTTGTGATCTATACACGCTCACGACCAGCCTTAAGGGAAAATTAAGCCCCATTATATTTTTCGCCCCGGCTTTGTGGCTTCGTCGAACCTTAGGCGAGGTTTGTCTTCGCCAATCGAACATCGCTTGTGCGGAATCCAAGCTTGTTCAACCACACACGCCGCCTGTGCGTGTATGTTCAATCATCTGCGACATATCCGACTTGCCTCTACGCTAGGCCAACTCATTCGGCTCGACCTTGCCTCTGCTCGGGCCAAGGTCTCTCAATACAACGTCGCATCTCGTCGTGCCATCTCGATCCCCTTCGATAGGGTCCATATGTCTTGACACCATCCCGAGTCTCGGGATGTCGTCGCTCATCACAACTCAAAAGTGTGCATAGATATGAAAATATTATTACTCAACGAAAGAAAACAGATTTAAGAATGAGAAAAAGAATTGGGATCGAATGTTCTATCTTCATTGATATTCACGACCTTTAAATAGGATACAAGATACTAAATAATATCTACCAAGAAAATATAAACTAACTAAATCCTGATAATAAAATAAAATATACTACTATTCAAATTCAACGGATTAAGATATCTAAGATATATTTCCTAACTAATATATTCTGAAAGATTACGAATATCATATATTCCATAACTAATTCAAACTAAAATAAGTTGCACTAAATTGTGACAGCCTCCCTTAGTGCAAGCTTATTTCTCAATAACTCCGAGAGCTTCTACGAAAAACTTCAAACTTCACTTTGGCAAGTGCCTTAGTAAATATGTTTGCAACTTGCTCATTAGTATGTATTTCCTGCAATTCAACATCCTGCATTAACACGTTCTCTCGAACAAAATAATCTACGAGGAATTTCTTCCAGTTAGGCTTGCGTATGGACTTCTTAGGCCCGCCACCACCTGAATAAGACACTGACACATCATGTTCAATGATTTCCTTCTTAACAAGTTCCACATCGCATCGATTCAATTCTAATGAGAAAGAGTAATAATTCATCTCAACTTGTGCAGACTCAGCATACTCCATACACCGGTGAATTACATCACTGGTAGACTGCAAAAACTCTTGATCTGCAGAAGCTTTATATCCTTGATCAAGGTCCAAGTCATCCTTACTATGATCATCA